TGGGGAAGTACGCGAGCTACACGGCTGGGTTTAAACTGAAGGCAGTGCAGTACGCGCTGGAGCACGGCAACCGGGCTGCAAGCAGGCATTTCGGCGTTGGAGAAACCAGTATTCGGTACTGGAGGGACCAAGAAGAAAAACTTAAGGCGACGAAGAAGACACGACGGGCTTTCCGCGGTGCCAAGACCAGCAGGTATCCGAACGTCGAAGAGCAACTGGTCCGGCATATACGGGAGCTACGACAAAACGGCTGTGCTGTGTCGTTGGATATTGTGCAGACTGAGGCGCGCAGAATAGCCCGAGCGCAGAGCATCGAAGCAAAAGAGTTCAAAGCCAGCTCCGGATGGACAACTCGTTTCATGCGGCGCCATGGCCTCACACTGCGAAGGCGGACCACCTTGTGCCAGCGCTTGCCCGCAGCATATGAGGACAAAGTGGTGGACTTCCACAGTTTTGTTATAAAGCTCCGACAGCAGAAAGACTTCATTTTGTCCCAGATCGGCAACGCTGATCAGACCCCCCTTTGCTTTGATATGCCGTGAAACACGGCAGTGGAGGAGAAAGGTGCACGGAGCATCATCGTCAGAACGTCTAGCGCTGATAAACAACGATGCACCATAATGCTGGCGGTGACAGCGGATGGGCGTAAGCTACCGCCTTACGTTATTTTTAAACGTAAGACGCTCCCAAAGGCAAAATTCCCTCAAGGCATCTACGTCAGAGTCCAGGAAAAAGGCTGGATGAGCGCGGAACTCATGGTGGATTGGGTGAAAACAGTCTGGGGTCGGCGGCCGGGTGGTCTGTTGTTGCCGTCCATGCTTGTCCTGGACAGTTTTCGTGGGCACCTAGTAGACCGTGTACGAGATGAGCTAAAGGAGCTGCGCACAGATCTGGCAGTGATTCCGGGCAGCCTCACATCAATATTGCAGCCTTTGGACGTGTCCTTGAATAAACCTTTCAAGGACAATGTTCGAAGGCTGTACACCACCTGGATGGCTGGAGGACAACATCAGCTGACTACAGGTGGTAAGATTAAGAGGCCGCGTGTGGAAATGCTGTGCGCTTGGATCGTGGAAGCGTGGCAGGCGATCTCCGACGAAGTCATCAGGAAAAGCTTCAAGAAGACGGGTATCTCGAATGCACTGGATGCGAGTGAGGATGACATGTTGTGGGGTGCAGATGATTCGGACACCGAAAACGAATCCCCGCTCGGCGAGGATAAATGTGTGATCTCCGACTCGGACTCCGAATAGGGAAAAGGAGGAACAGCTACGACTTTTGTGTAAATAAATTTTACGTGTGTGCGTGCAGTTGAAGGCTCTCGCTTGTTCATTAAAAGGTACATAGGTATGTTTGTTTTATGCTGAATTAATTGGTAAACGATAAAGTCACCTTTTACTTGACAAGTGTGCAGATTTAAAGCACGAGAACTGAGTTGAAAAAATTTTCAAAAATTTTACCCCGCGTAATTGGCGCACCCCTAACTTCGAGCCGGGTTTTCTGAAAAAAAAGTGCGCCTATTATGCGAGTAAATACGGTATTTGTAACTAAGTTGGACCACTTGTACCTGTTCAACAAAATTGATTTAAACAAGTATATGCATCTTTTCTAAGAATATTCCAAAAGATAAATCTAAGCTGCTGCTCGTCGTTTTCCTGCATACAGCGCTAGGTTTCTTTACAGCTATAATACTGAATGTGGTTAAACATGTTCTATAGAATATGGTTAATGAAGTCTGTCAAACAAAAAAGCTTGGTCTCTAGGTAAGCGAGTCTGAGTTGATGCATCTGTCCTCATTTTTTTCCTCACCCATTTTTCTTTCGCGCAGTATACCTTCTTAAAAAGTCTGGATTGTTACCCGAGACTTAGAAGTATGGCAGCTTGGGCTAGTTGGTATGACATGACGATAGTTATAGCACGAAAACAGAACGACGACACAGAGACAAGTGCCCTTCCTACTCTTCTTGTCTCTGTGTCGTCATTCTGCTCTCGCGCTATAACTATCCTCATGTTACCCGGGGTTGACCTGTACAAGAACTTCTATTACATACTGTATTTACTTGCGTAATACTCGCACTGGCACATATATTGCATCTCCCAAAACACCCATCACCAGTCTGCATTTTTTTTTTTTAGGTATCTGCAGCACCCCCAAAAATTGTTCCAGTAATGTCATCTGCTTCTTCCAACCACTGATGATGATAACTGCATGACAGCCTAGCACTATCTCTTAGGGCATCAAGCACATTATCAACATCTAGAGCCTCAATCCAATCCAAACCAAGCCAAGTCAAAGTGGTAAGTGTGGATTGCAGGGTGTTAGTGCTAGTCTGGGCAGTGTACGTTGTTGTGTCCGTTCCGTGTTTACGTGATATGTTGGTACAGAAGTTACACGGCTGCGTTCAAGTTGAGAGTGGTTGCTTATACACAAAAGAACAGCAACAGGGCCACCGGCAGGCACTTCGAAGTCGACGAGTTTTGTATTACTGGTGACGGTAGCATGAGCAGCTGAAAGCCAACGGGTTTTTCGTGGGCCTAAGACAGAAAAATACCCACAGGTTCAGGCGCCACTTCTTGATTACATCACGAGCGTCTCACAAGCAGACTCTTGAGACAGTGGTTTCAGTGTCTGCAAATAAATCTTGCTTAGTGTTGAACCTTTGGTTTTATTGTGAACGTAAGCCTTGATTAGTACTTCTCAAAGCTTGTAGTTAGTTGCTGGCACGAGAATCCCGATTTGAGATTGCTGCATTTTATTTTTTGCTCTGTACGTTTTAGCGGAAAATTTTCGTCACGCAATTCTCGCATCCCCTAAATTTTCATTGGTTTTCGCGAAAAAAAAAAAAATAGTGCGAGGATTATCTGGGTAAATACATAAGCACTTCCCAGTTACAAAATATTTTGAAGGCTGTAGTTACAGCTCAGCGTAATTAGTTGCGGTACTTTTTAAAATGTAATCATAATGTACCTCTGTTCAAACTCGTGAATATTTGATTCAAGTTAAATGCTATTCAATTCTAGGGCTGTTTTTAAAATTGTCACCTCATCAGTCTGGAGTTGCATTGAAGATTGTCGCCTCGCTATTTGAAAACTATTTGAATAGTGTTCTAATAAAATTCATATCCGTCTTCCTATTCAGTGTCATCCCAATTTCGGATTTTTGTATCACTATTCACACAGAAAACACAAAAAGAGCAAGCAATTTAGAACTGTTTTTGACATGCGACAGTAACTTTCAAGTCACACCTAGTGAAATAATAATTGGCTCACATGGTCCCAGGAGCCTAATGTCGTCATCAGCAAGGCCCCCTTAACATGCACAAAAAGCGTTTCAGGGCTCTTAAAGTGATCATAGAGAAAAGTGGAATCGACAACACAATACCTGAGATCCTGCTGCCGTTGCAACCATCATGGTGGTAGTTCCACTCTGTGTCCCACCAGGACTACCAGATGCATTCGCTGGCAACAGACCCGTTGGCATGGTAATGGCACCTCCAGGCACAGCTGCATGGCACGGCCAGATACAATCAACGTTCCATTTTGGGACTCTCTAGAGACCATAAAATGCTATGATAAAACGAAGCCCTCTTTCTTACCTTGCTCAGGTAGTCAAAATGCAATGGCCACATGCTTAATAGCTTTAAGTACACTTGCCAAAAGTTTCAATCCCGTCTGAGTTGCAAAGTCGGCATTCTCTCGCACAAGGAGCGAACAGTGGTGTGGCATGCTTGGGCTTGGGTAACTCTTATAAAAACTGGTTAGTTGGCTGAGGATGCCCATCATAACAAGGTTGTAGGCAATTAAGTGATACAGGCGTGTTTGCCTCCTGCCATCATCATATCTATCTATAGTGTGTATCTGTAAAAGGATCATTGTACTAGCACTGTGACAGCCTAGTTTGCTTCTCGGTATGCTTCGGCGTCGTACACCTTAGCATCACGGCAAGATGGACATCTGGAACTGAATATGGTCACAAACAGGTCAACTCCTAAAAGCGCTGGTTCAAGCATGCGAGCAAAACGACACCACTGCAGTGGCGACTTCAATTATGTAATCTCGTTTTGAACCGGCAAATTTGTGCAATGTCCGAAACACCAGGAGTTTGTGCAGCAGTCCTACAGCCACATGGCCGCTGAAGTGAGCCTGGAACAGAGCTGCCTACTTTGGGGTTCCAAGGTGGCGGACCAACAATGTCTCCAGTCCAGGGTCCTGCAGTTGCTGCACGGGAAGCAACCTCGTGTGCAAACGACCAACATGTTGGCCCAGTCCCACGTCTGGTGGCCTGGCCTGCACCAAGACATCGCTTGCATGCTACAGAGCAGCCAAGTCTGCGAACACCACCAGTGGGCCCCGCATTAAGGAAAGATCACCCGTTGGCCATTCTAACAGAGGCTCTAGTCCCATTTTCATGTGGATTTCGGGGGCCCCTTCAACGGTCACTACTTCCTGATGGTGTACTTCCTTGACGCGTTTTTAATATGGGTGGAAATACCAGCTGTCACTAATCCATCAGCAGGCACGACCATTGCAGCACTGTGGCAGACGCCCGCTGCCCAGGGTCTGCTGGGCGTCATAGTCTAACGATGGGCCTGCTTCCCCTAGCATAGAGTACGTGGCCTGGATGAGGAAGAACACGATCTACTGAATGATGGTTCCGCCCTACCACCCTACTTCAAACAGTGCAGCCAAGCAAGTGGTGAAGACCATTGAAGACAAACTTAAGAACAGCCCGGCTGGAGACGTTGCCCACACGCTCTTTCAGTACCAGAGCACATCCCATGATGTCACTGGCCATGCTCCCCTGTGAGCTCCTACTAGTCCAGCTAGTAAAGAAATTTTGCATGCACACCTCTCATCAATGGGCCAGGACCGCCATTCTTCACCAGAAACTTTTGTTCTGGCCCACCTTGGTCTGCCAGCCAGGTGGTCTTACCTGCAAGCTTCTCCTCGCTACTCGTACGTATGCAGGATCGAACCACGTGGAATCGACAACACAATACCTGAGATCCTGCTGCCGTTGCAACCATCATGGTGGTAGTTCCACTCTGTGTCCCACCAGGACTACCAGATGCATTCGCTGGCAACAGACCCGTTGGCATGGTAATGGCACCTCCAGGCACAGCTGCATGGGACGGCCAGATACAATCAACGTTCCATTTTGGGACTCTCTAGAGACCATAAAATGCTATGATAAAACGAAGCCCTCTTTCTTACCTTGCTCAGGTAGTCAAAATGCAATGGCCACATGCTTAATAGCTTTAAGTACACTTTCCAGAAGTTTCGTTCCCGTCTGAGTTGCAAAGTCGGCATTCTCGCAGAAGGAGCGAACGGTGGTGTGGCATGCTTGGGCAACTCTTATAAAAACTGGTTAGTTGGCTGAGGATGCCCATCATAATAAGGTTGTAGGCAATTAAGCGATACTGGCGTGTTTGCCTCCTGCCATCATCATACCTATCTATAGTGTGTATCTGTAAAAGGATCATTGTACTAGCACTGTGACAGTAGCCTACTTTGCTTCCCGTTTTGCTTCGGCGTCGTACACCTTAGCATCACGGCAAGATGGACATTTGGAATTCAATATGGTCACAAACAGGTCAACTCCTAAAAGAGCTGGTTCAAGCATGCGAGCAAAACGACACCACCGCAGTGGCGACTTCAATTATGTAATCTCGTTTTGAACCAGCAAATTTGTGCAATGTCCGAAACACCAGGAGTTTGTGCAGCAGTCCTACAGCCACATGGACGCTGAACTGAGCCTGGAACAGAGCTGCCTACTTTGGGGTTCCAAGGTGGTGGACCAACAATGTCTCCAGTCCAGGGTCCTGCAGTTGCTGCACAGAAAACAACCTGGTGTGCAAACGACCAACATGTTGGCCCAGTCCCACGTCTGGTGGCCTGGCCTGCACCAAGACATCGCTCGCATGCTACAGAGCAGCCAAGTCTGCGAACACCACCAGTGGGGCCCGCATCAAGGAAAGATCACCCGTTGGCCATTCTAACAGAGGCTCTAGTCCCACCTTCATGTGGATTTCGGGGGCCCCTTCAACGGTCACTACTTCCTGATAGTGTACTTCCTTGACGCGTTTTTAATACGGGTGGAAATACCAGCTGTCACTAATCCATCAGCAGGCACGACCATTGCAGCACTGCGGCAGACACCCGCTGCCCAGGGTCTGCTGGGCGTCATAGTCTCTAACGACGGGCCTGCTTCCACTAGCATAGAGTACGTGGCCTGGATGAGGAAGAACACAATCTACTGAATGATGGTTCCGCCCTACCACCCTACTTCAAACAGTGCAGCCAAGCAAGTGGTGAAGACCATTGAGGACAAACTTAAGAACAGCCCGGCTGGAGATTTCCATCGCACGTTGCCCACACGCTCTTTCAGTACCAGAGAACATCCCATGATGTCACTGGCCATGCTCCCTTGTGAGCTCTTACTAGTCCAGCTAGCAAAGAAATTTTGCATGCACACCTCTCATCCATGGGCCAGGAACGCCAGTCTTCACCAGAAACTTTCGTTCTGGCCCACCTTGGTCTGCCAGCCAGGTGGTTTCACCTACAAGCTTCTCCTCGCTGCTCGTACGTATGTAGGATCGAACCACGTGGAACCGGCAATCTGACCATTTGAGGGTGCACCGTGAGATCCTGCTTGCATCAACAGCAACACTTGTGGCCAGTGTTGCGCCAACAATTGGGCCACTGCCAAGTTGTTTTCCACCACTGACAGCCCCTGCAGTTCCTCAAAATCAGGGGCTCTCAAGCATACCGGTGCCACAAAGCCCTGTTAAGTGCTAAGGAACTCCCCTCTGCTTTGTTCATATTTATTTCATTTTTGTTCATAAATAAAAGCACCGAGATGTGCTTATCCTCGGCCGGGCGTGAATACAGTCGACGACCGATTTTTCGGACGCCCAATATTTCGGACACACTTGATAATTTGGACACTTACTCGGCACCAGAACATACCCTATAAGTTCAATGTATTTCGCAGCTCGAAATTTCGGACACTTGAGGATGGGCTGTTCGATATTTCGGACTTTCCAAGCGTCAGTCGAGCAGACTGCCAGCATTTTTTCGCGCCGCCACCATCTTGTTTGTTTACTTTTTTTCTCCAGTAGCCTCGAACCGGTGCTGGCCGTGCGCACGGCCGCTAGCTCCGTTAGGGTGGCTACCTCGAACTGCTGGATCGAGGCTACTTTCGCATCAGCGTCGCTGCTTAAAAACTTTTTCTTCTCTGCTGTGACCGTTGGATTGACAGGAATGGATCGACTGACTGTTGGCCTGTGCGTGTGCCATGTGTTTCGCGTGTGTTGCCTAGCTAACTGCGCTCATTCATAATGAATAAGCAATCGTCGATGTTTTCATCGGCCTCGAGAGCTCCGATGAAGCGCGGCTAGTATGTCACCATGTCGATGGCGAAAAAAGCTGCCATCGTCAAGCTTGCTGAAAGTGGTCAATCGCGGCCAGACGTTGCGAAAGATTTCCATATTTCCAAACAGACTCTTTCGGACCACATCAAGAACAAGCGGAAGATTTCGGAGGCGGCGAAAAAGTCCACTGGATGTCATCAGAAAAATGTCAGCCAAGGTACCTACCCCAAGCTCGAGGAGGCCCTACTCGTATGGCTGAAGTCGACAGTGGCCAGCAAGGTTCCCGTCTCCGGGGGTTTCCTCAAACAGAAAGCCGAGATGATGGCGCTTCAAATGAACATTGAAGGATTTAAGGTCAGTGACGGCTGGCTCGGAAACTTCAAGAAGCGCTCTGACCTCAGTTTGAAAAAACTGTGTGGTGAAAGTGCAGCTGTTGACTTCAGCGTCGTTGCGAACTACCGCTCTGCAAAGCTGCAGTCCCTTTTACAGCAGTACTCGCCAGACGATACTTTCAACTGTGACGAGACCGGACTTCTTTTCAAGCTGATGCCAGAAAAGACTCTCGCCTTTGCTGGCGACCCTTGTCATGGTGGCAAACACAGTAAGGAGCGAGTTACTGTACTGATCGGTAGCAATATGTCAGGCACAGAAAAACTGCCGATGCTTGTCATCGGCAAGTCGAAAGCTCCGAGGTGCTTTTTAAAGGTGTAAAGTCCCTGCCTGTTTCATACGAGGACAACAAAAACGCCTGGGTAATGCAGAAGATTTTTGAAAGCCATGTGAGAAGACTAGATCGCAAATTTGATCTAGAAGGCTGCAAAATTGTGTTGTTTGTCGACAACTGCGCTGTGCACGGACACAAACAACTCGAAGGCTGTGCGCGTGGAGTTCTCGCCACCGAACACGACAAGTGTCCTACAACCGATGGACCAGGGTGTCATACGCACTCTCAAAGTGAACTATCGGTCACGCTTGCTTTCGCGTGCGATGGTGTGCCTCGACAGTGGAAAAGTGTACTCGGTCGATTTGCTCGGGGCACTTAGCATGCTCGCCGATGCGTGGGAGTCGATGACATCGACACCGCTGCGCACCTGTTTCTGCCACGCGATATTTGTGTTGAATGGCAAGTCGGCCGCCTTAAAGGGCCACTCACCAGGCCCCATACCGAATTTTAGTTAGACAGTGGAAGTTGTCGGGTGTTCGATGAGGAATGTTTTGCCACAAAAATTTCTCGAATTGGTTCATTACGAGCGGAGAAAACAGGTTTTTTGAAGCGGCGCGAAACGAGGGTGAGAGGAGACGAGTTCGAAACCCTTGCCGCTCCTCCGCGTAGCCTTCGCAAGCCAAACCTCTTCCCCACCCTCTCCGGCATCCGACCAAAAGGTGACGTTCGCATGACGTGCCCGAACAAGCCCAGCCCCCGTACACGCGAGCGGCGTTGCTTTGTTGACCAGCGTTATTTTTTGGTCTTCTGCCTGTTTCTGCGGGATTGTTTGGAAACGCTGGCTTAGACGCGGTAGAGTAGATGAGCACAATGAGTGGGCGAACGCGTAGGAGCGTTCCACAACGGTCGTCTGCTCTATGCGCTGACCGTGGGAACCCGAACGCATGTGAAATGCTGGCACATTAGCCCCGCATCTCGTAGCATTTCACGGGAAAAAAAATGTAAGAAAAACGTGCACATTCTATATTGCGTCTCATTATTTCAAGTTTTACTCATCTATTAAAGCAACAAATACATAAACTATGCATGTTGTGTTAAATAATTTTGCCATGTCACGTGGTATACTGTTGACAACGCCAGAGCAGAGTCGTCTCCGTAGAGGACCAACGTGACCGCAGTGCTGTGTACGTAGGGCCATTCCTACGCTCACGTCATGCCCTTATTCTCTACGCATGCGCAGGTAGAGGGGAGGGAGAGCAGCTTTCATATTGAAATTTGACCCATTTCCGAGGCGCGTAGCGTTGCAAATTTGGGCAGACATGATCGTGAACGCCTCATCTACGCATTGCGCTTGTCAGCTCAAAGTTGTCAAACCTGGTGAGTGGCCCTTTAAGGTGGTAGGCCACTCAAAAACAAAAATTTTTTTAAGGGCACGCAGCGTTGAAATAACGTTTTCCTCAAAACCAGCATGTCTTATTTAATTTACCCAGCTATTTACAGTGCAAAATATTGAATATTTATTTATTGGGAGGTCATATTTGTCAAAAATTGCATTAAATGTGCTAGCCACGCCAGCTGTGATAAGTGTCTAATGGGTGGCTTTATTCAGTAAAGCTTTGACAATTGTGTAACTAATGGCTGGAGCTATGCAGTGAACTAGAATAAATATTCTGCAGTGAATATCAAGGAAGTAATGCTAAAAAAAAAAAAAATTGGGGAAAAGGAGCCAATTTAGATTGAACCTGTTGGAGAATTCAGCTGTGAACTGAAAAATATTCGATGGATTTCTTTTATTCTAGTTCACTGCACAGATGTATATGTTGTAAATCATTGTGCAAAATTTCAGTTCAAAGTATACGCTGAGAAATACATTATGAAAGTTTGCGTCGCAACATTTGGAGCAAATTGTTATTTTCAAAAAAACGTAAACAAAGATTTCCGAGCTTGTAAAAAGGGTCACAATCTTCGCATGCAGGCCTAAAATGCACCAGATTCATAGCTGGGTCCTTCTGCGGAAGCATTATTGTCTCCTTTTGTTCGGATGGCTGCTCGTCTTTTCTTCCTGGCCTGTTTTGTCCCATCCTCTGACTTGCATTTAGCATTCTGTATGCGCAGGTGATCCCTGGCGATGCAAGCTTTCGTCGCGAGGTACCCTGATTCTATGCCAGCTTGCCTCAGGATATCTAGGCTGTTTACACTGCCATTATTAAAGTGTGCCACAGCATCATGCAAGGCAAACACTACTGTAAGCAAGCTTATGTAGACCTCTTTGGGTGCCCGCTGCCATATTAGACCATTAAAACACTCATTAGCATTTTGAGTCTTTCCATGAAGGCACTTCATTAAAAGTTCATCAGAGCACAGATCACTGTAGACAATTTTAACTTTGTTGAGCACATCATTTCGAAGCCCTCCTTTGTGTACATATTTCCCTTGGCCGAGTGCTTCGACCCTTTGGTATCTGCAACAGCTTTTCGGTCCAAGTGGACACAGGCCATGTTTCGGCTGCTTGTTGGTAGAGCTGCAATGAAAAAAACTGGCAAGGGTAGCCTTTTTCATTGCAGAAAGGTTCCCCACATTATCCCTTATGGCGATGCCATAGTAGTTTTGCAGGCGGTCAATGAGGGCATCAGTAAGCTTTCCCTTACCACCGAGTCCATGCACTGTCTTCTTCAGTTTTCTGAGGCAGCAGCCAACACGCTTCTGGACATGCCCAATACATTCCAGTTTCTGCACACTGTTAACCTCCCTGTCCTTCTTCTTTCAATCCTCCTCCTCCTGCACACTGTCCTTTCCATACATGTCTTTGACAGCGGCATAGCTCTTGGAATCACCATCGCCGTAGTACTGCAGGTACTTCAAATCTCTTGTGCCTTTCGACCTTTCAAATATTCGGTATAGACCAACAGTCTCCATACCGCCAGCACTTCCTTCATGGTTTGCTTGACAGGAAGTGTGGTTTGCCTTTCATTCCTGGTACGAAGCACTATCTTGCGTCAACTTGCTTTTGGTTTTACAAGACTCACAGACACACAACCGTTCAAAGATGAATGGCCACGCTTCTGCCACGTGCCATCACCTGAAACACCACACTCGGCACTCCCGACAACATGACGAACTTCCACAGCAGCATCAGTCATCGACTTCGACTCCACTTCTCCTGCCGCTGCAGAAAGCCGAGATGACAATTTGTCGTAGGCGGAGTGACGTGGAGGAGCAGGCATGTTCATCACTTTGGAAAATGTTTTCGCACCAGCGTGCCCTTTTCCTAACTGGCGCATCGCATAAACCAGACGTAAATTGTTCTCATTGGCACGACCCACCTTTCTCGACGTATCAAATGGGCGCTTGAACCCACAGTCGGTACACACTACCGCACAAGCCGAGCATATCACTTGTGAGAGCGTTCCTCGAGCTTCAGTGTTGTCTTCACACATTCGGAACATGCCAGCGATGAAAACACTGAAGAAAGAATACCAATGTTTATTATCCAGTTCCCTTGGAGCGCGGAATTCTCTAATGGAGCCTGGTACGCCTTCTGTATGTCCCCAAGCTTCTTAGCGGTCGCAAAATACCGCCGTCTGTGTCAGTAGGCAGCCTCGTCGTCGTGTAGCGATTTCCAGCAAACTTGCGCTTCCTCGTCTTCTGTGTTCTGCACTTCCCCAAGCTGGTCGTAATATGGTCCAGGTGGCCTAAGGAAACAGCCCTAGTAGCGTTGACACGTGGAACAAATGCAGAACGAAGCCTGACGTAGCCTGACCAAGGCAAACAAAAATTCCGACGAGCATCGTGTGTCCCCCTTGTGGCTGTTGTTAGAAATTAACGAAGACTTTTAAACACAAAGTTGTATTTAATGACATCATCTTATGTAACAGTCACAATAAAATGCATAAAGTATTTTGAATAGCATTAATATAGACGAAACAACACTTGCTATTGAAAGCGATTTTTCGAAACCGAAACCACAGTTGGAAATGTGGTTTCGGTTTTGCTATAAGAGCATAGGGTATGGAAAACTTGCTGTAACTCGCAAACTAAGGACGCTAAGAGGATAATTTTTGTTGCAACATATATGTGAATGTTTGGGCATGCAAGAAAAACAAAACCCTAAAAATTTGTTTCACAAAAAAAAAAAAAACTTCTGAAGGTGGCCTACCACCTTCAGAAGGTGGTAGGCCACCTTCTGAAGGTGGTAGGCCTGGACGAGGACACCTGGACGAGGACAGTGTCATCGACCAGGTGTCGGACAGCGAGCAGCTTATTGGCGACCTTCGCACTGCGGGCGTCGAGATTCCATCAGATGTCTCATTTTCAGCGTTTGCGTGTGTGGACAGCGAGTTAGAACTTTGCGCTGGCCTCACTGATGAGAAAATCATTCGCCAAGTGCTTGCAGAGTCGGAGAGGAACGATGACGACGACAACTTACCTGCAACAACACAGCCGACGCAAGCTGAGCTTATGCTAGCACTCACAACTCTTTCGTCAGCTTACAGCGACACAAATGGGGGCGGACGTGCTCGCACGGAAGCGAAGCATGGTCCAGAAAAAGGTAAATCACTTTTTCCGCCCTCCGGCTCAATAGTAAGCAATAAAGTGAGTATTTTGGGGGCACATTTGCTTTTTCGGACTGCCTGAATTTTCGGACATTTTTCGCGGTCCCTTAAGGGTCTGAAAAATCGGTCGTCGACTGTAATAGAGGCTCCCAAGATCGATCACACATCGGGATCGCTATCTAAGTGAGCTAAGTGGGCAAGTGCGGAACCAGGGGAAATTCATCAGTGGCTTGCGGAACCTCGAGGAGCGGCCTGCCGAACCTACCTTGAGAACCCCTGTTCAATATGAAGCAAGCATGGTTGGAGCAGCACCTGGTGCTGCCACATCCAGTCCGCAACACCTGTGCCCAGGCAGAACTCTGACGTCAAAGGGCACAAGACCGCTTTTCTCTTATCTAAGCTAACATCCAACCGGCTGGGAGCTGTGTTTTTATTTTTTGTGTTCAATAACAGGGTTCGTACAGGTTTACAAAGCAAAAATTCAAGGATATTTAACGACTTTCCAGGATTTGTTGCAAGTTTTTCAAGGAATCGAAGTGGCATATTACGTTGGAATTCTTCACTCTAAAATATTCAAAAATGACCAATTTCGTTGCTCTTACAATATATGGATATCCCAATCATAAAAAAAATAGTGTAGTGTTAATAACTTCTTGCACCCTCTCTATAGGGAGAGGGCACGATGTCATGTCTGAAACTTACGCGCTAATGGGCTTCAACACGCATGTGTAGTCAGGCCTTAAAGAGGTCGTGCCACAATATTTGTGGCTTGCGTGTTCTTTGCTGCAAGCTTTAATTAAAGCTCCAATAAGCACGATACACGCACCAAGATTCATATAGAGCAGTGGCGATAGAAGAACTTGTTTTGGGGCGAGTTGGCTGCTTAATATTGGTGAGCATATCGATCGCTAGCAATGCAAGACACTCCAAAGAATGTTTTTTTTTTTTTAGGTGCCAATGTTTTTAAGGCCGCCTCGAACAGCTTTGCCGTTAAAAATCCACCAGGCTTGCACGGAATGCGAATGCACAGCACTGTCACAGCGAAAGCTGGAAAAGCGCCCTCTCAGAGCCTTTCTTTTTTTTTTTTTTATGAAGACTCTCTGGGTAATTGCTACAAGAACACATGTAGAGTACCCACTATGCCATTAATCATCATAGTTTTTGTGTAGTAGGGAGGCATTCACTACACAATCCTAGGCCATTCTTTAGAAAAGCATGGTACCCGCTACACGCTTTCAAGGAATTTTGAGCAATTTTTGATGCTGTGGCTGACGACGAAGAATTCTGCTTGAAGCGTTTGTAATGGGTTGCAACATTCGACAACCCACCTGTTACACAATTCGCATTGTGTAATGCCTGGTTGTTCCTTTGCTATTATAAAATGCATTTACACAACGAGATTCCTTTCCAGACATCAAGCCTGCCGAAGGGCGGTTTGAATAGGAGTTCGAAGCACTGGCAAGGCTCTGTGGTAGAATGTTCGACTGGCACGCAGGGGACCCAGGTTCGAATCTCACTGTCCTTGGCTTTTTTTTTTTTTTTACACAGGTTTTTCCTATTTTACGCGACAGTGGTTACGGACATTGGCGGTGGGCGCGGACAACTACGGTGCAAGCGACCCTCGTTGTGATCTGATAACAGCGCTCACTGTGAGACAGCACATAGTGTAACTCACTTGTGAGACCCCCCGTTGGTGTTGCCATGCGCAGCAAAATGGTCTGCATGGGCTGGGTACCACTGCCAGTAGCAAGCCGTGGTCCAGCCTCGCGTGGAGCAACAACCATGCCGGGAGGCAAGTTGGGCACCAAGTATGTCACGCGTGTGGGCGGTCCAACTAGTGATGACGAGCTGAGACGCACTGCATTGGCCCCAGCCTGGGTCACCGTGCCCGAGGGCATGTGGCTCAACACCACTGACGTGCCTGCAATGCTTACACGGGTTGTCGAAGGGCTCGACGCAGACTGCACCTGCAAAGATGGCAAAGTTTAAATAAATGATAAATGAACCTCTTCCCATGTCACCATTTCCCTCAATGAAGGTGATATCATAGGCAAGGGCAAATAGTTGATCGCTTCAAAGATTCACTAGAGAATCACAGTATTCAAACTTAATTTGAAAAATGTTTATATTATATTTAAGTACTCAGAATGAGCGAATGGACATACATTCGAGACCACACGCAACCGCTCACGAAAATGTGGTTCCACAGCAGTGTACGTAATATGCTGTGAAACCACCACCTCTACAAAAGAATTCCACACTGCAACAAAGCCCCATCCTGATGTTCTTTGTACATATTGCATTCTTTTTAATGACTTGCTTATTAAATTTTGAAAGCTTGTTATAGTAAACAACTTTATAGTATAATTATAGTATAGTACTTGTTATGAGCACAGTAAATTTAATACCTCATGTATTTTACTGCTTATAGCTTGCACCCTACTGCTACTAAAATTTTGCTATTACCGTATTTACTCGCATAATCCTTGCACTTTTTTATGTCACGGAAAACCGATGCAAAGTTGGGGAGTGTGAGAATTACGCGGAGAAAATTTTCCACGAAAACGTACAGAGCGAAAAAGAAAACGAAGTGGCCGCAGGTCCGGATTTTCACGCCAGAACAATAAAAGCAGAGGTTCAACGCAAGACAAGATTTATTTGAGACACAAAAGGCACAATCAAATAGTTGAGAATTACAATACCGTATGCAAAGCTTGCGGGTGTAGCGGTAGCGTTCGCCGCTGAACAGGAGTCCGCAAAAGGTAAGCGAAGGACGTCAGTATTGGGCTGATGGCCATTTAAGGGGGGAGGTGGCTTTGAAAAAAAACTTTTTTATTTGTTGACCTACAGCAATGAAATTTGGCATGCATACTCATAAGTGTCTAGAATAGGGAAATATGCAGTTTCATCATGATAGCTTCAGTAGTTCTCAAGTTACATAATGCTACACGATCCAATTACATGGTCTGCTCGTGGAAAGCCTAGCGCTGCAACAAAACATGCCAGGAAGCTGCGAATGATGTTGATCTTTACTCAAAAGAAAGCTACAGGGTATGACACTCTCGGAATTTTTTAGTAAGTTTTCGGTTTTTTTTTAGAGATCATCATGGCTGCCGACACACATTGTCAGAAACAATGGCACGGACAAATCATCGTCTAGAAAAATAACAGGGCCACAAAACAGAAATTGAATATTGCTGTACCCACAAGCAGTGTTCAGGGATTCAGGGAAAAAAAACAGAATCAAAATCGGTCCAGTCATTCTCGTGCTACTCTTTCCACGAGCAATGCACAATGTCCAAAACACACTTGTGAGAAAAAGCCTGTCGAAGTTATCGACAGGCTTTTTTTCAATGAACTTTTTTGTTTCTATTTGGATATTGATGAAAATTGGCACAGACACTAAGAATAACCTCACAGTGCTTCCATAAAAATTTTGAAGCGATACCACGAATACTTTACGAGAAACAAATTATTTCTTCATTGAACCATGTGGAGGGGCTGAGCATAATGTCAAAAAAAAAAAAACAGTATTGAGAAAGCTAGGTTAAAAGTTTCAACTTTTCTTTACGTCTCTAAGACACCTAAAAATTGTGATCTCAGGTTTGTCTTGTGATATTTGACTTCTTTTCATGATTTACTCCTTTTCATGAGTTACAAAGAACAAGTATGAATTTCAAACCAAGTTCTTTGTATGAAGGAGTGGTGTGATAGGTATGACAGAAAAGATTGTAATTGAATAAAACCATATACTGAAATTATTAAACATACTTTTTTTGTGCTGAAGTTGTAATTAGCGTAATTAAGTACTTGATTACAAATATTCACTGAACTTTTTTTTATTTGGAGAGAAGTTTATTGCATCAGAAAAATGGATCACACCATGACGGCCTATGCCTTCTTATGGGCAGAAGACTGGTGGCACGGGAATTTCTAGCAGTATAATTAATGACACGAAACGGGCATATAAAAATTCGTGCCCCTGATTCACACATGCTCTTTCGCCGCTCTAGCCGTGAAACGCATCATCATACAGCCGGTCGCGGAAACTCTAATCTACAGCAATTCATTAACCTCGGCACATTCATAGACGTTCGTGGCGATATCAAGCACGGCTCCAAGCACGTCTGAATCGCATCACAAAAGCTTACTGACGGCACTCCATAAGACCGTGGGGTGCGCGGCCGCATGGACAGTGCAGCCGGCGCGTAATGCACTTGCCGGCGGCGTTCGATGACGATGCGCGAAATGTGTAACTACGAAGACAAAAAATCGGCACGCACTGCACTTGGCATCGCATTTTCGAATGACGACGCGCGAAACTGCTAGCCGCTGTTCCGAGCGATCCTTGGCAGTGAAGGGAGAGGGGGGGGGGGGGTGACGAGTTTGACTGTGTTATCCGCTGCCGATGCGTAAAATGCCCGTACAATATTCAGAGGAGCTAGCGAGTGATGCGGTACATTCCTTGCGAAGAAGCACGTCACCAAAAGTGCGCTTGCGTGTCGTTCCTGCCCGCAGTCTCGCTGTCAGCGGAGTTAGGCCTAAAGCCGACACCGATGACGCGCCGCACTCGTAGACCGCCGCGCGCCCGCTCGTAGTAATCTGATCGTGCATCCGGTGCGGCCACTCGTAGTAATCAAATCGTGCCGCCGCTTACAGCTTCGTTGCTTGCGAAGAAGCACGTCGCCACGAATGCGCTAGCGCGTCGTTCCTGCCCGCAGTCGGCGGAGTTAGGGCTAAAGACGACTTCAATGACGCGCGGCGCTCGTAGACCGCGCTGACGCTCGTAGTAACCTGATCGCGCATCCGCTTACTGCTCGTAACTAAAGCGTAGTTATATCTTAAGTGATTATCAAGCCGTGAACACGTCACGAAGTGGCGATTTTCGAGAGCCATGTCCTCGCGACGCGCAAGCAGCAGACGACGATCTCCCGGAGCGAGCATCGGGCCAATGGCGAGGCGAGCTGAGGCAACATGGCGGCCACGGCCAATCAAGGGCCTCAAAACGACCTTCAAACATTTGCTTTTTGCTCGCTTGTTGTTAAAGGGAGGAGCCAGCTGAGGCGGGAAAGTTAAACACGGAGAAATGCTCTTTCCGATGAGCCCAAGAAGCCGGCTCCCGGCCCAAGCATCGCGAAGCTATAATTTTTTGAAAATCGCCGTTTTCTCGCCATTTGCAGAAAAATTTTTGCTACCTAGGTGGGTGAAACGAATTTTCCGAAGCACTTCTGCGCGGTTTTCAGTGTAGATATTTTGGAACCAGATAGAAAAAGGGTTCCAGAAACTGAAAACTTGAGTTTCAAAAAATCGATTTTTTTGCCATTTTTCGCGATCCCAAAGCCGCGTCCCCCCTTAACAGAATCGTCCGCAGTTATCCTCTGAAGAAATTAAGTTCGCTGTCAATCCCAGTCTTAGGCACACGGAAGGCCCAACATGTCTTATGGCTTTCAGCTGCCGTCACCAGTAGCGAACACAAAACTCGTCTACTACGAAGGCCTACCGGAATCACGCCACAACGCGCACTTGCCACTTTGGCTTGGATTGAATTTCGGTGCAATAATAGTATGCTCTATGCTTAGGAGATGGCGCCAGATGGCGCACGCTATTATCATCACTGGCTGGAACGAGAAGACGATATTATAGCGCCAATTTTCGGGGGTGCAATAATTACTTGAGGAAAAAAAAATCAAAATTTTGTCGGGCGATGTCGGGGGTGTGAGAATTATGCGAGCGCGATAATTACGCAAGTAAATACGGTATTAGAAGTTGCTTCCACTTTAAAAGAAAAAGCAATGTTTACACGTGCCTAGTTCCAATTCATAAAGATGCTGCCGAACCCCTTAATAAGAGACACTAATCTGCCAAGACTGAAATAGGTGTTGATGAGAAAATTCATACGTGGTACCCTGCTTATAAGAGGCATCTAATATAAAAGACAAGAACAGTGATGGAAGTCACTTTTTATTTTTGGAGCATACTTTGGAGCAGGAAAAGTACAGTTTTTGAGCAGCCATAAGTGTTCTTGAAGCAGAAAAAATGTTCGTTTGGAACAGCTATTGGTGTTTACAAGCAGATACAAAATTTTCCATACACATTAATGGCAGTTCAAAGCATTGTCGAAGCATCTTGTAAATATTATTATTCATTAAAAAATATATTTCACAGACAACAATAGATGTATATTTCAAGAAGCGAACAATGATAAAGATCGCTGGCAGTCAAAAATGTGCTGCAAAATGAGCTATATAATTAAAATGCTAGTATTTGTAGCAGAAATAAAATTAGACTGCTAAAGCTGAGCATGACGTTTTAGAAGAAAACACAGTCCCACATAACTGTTGCCAAATAAGCAGTAGATAATCGGTATGCGATTTCCCTACACATTTCCCTACACAAGCCTACAAGTCTAGCTGGAAAAAAGAAACACTGCCAAATGAGCTACATGCATAATATGCCAGTTCTTGTTGCACAAATGAAATCAGAGCCAATAATGCTATACACTAGGAGCATACTGGGATGATAGCATACAGATTCTTATAAGTTTCTTTAGGACTTATGAGCTAGTTAAACAGCAAAAGTTCATCATTCTCTTTCTCTCAGTGCTGCTTCGGAGCAGGTTTGGAGCAGTTACTGGCGAAAATCACAGTTTGGAGCAGCATTGAGCATCATTTCTCTTTTGGAGCTGTTTGGAGCAATTGGAGCAGCACTTCCATCACTGCAAGAATTGGTCCCCGGTGCATGCCTCTTACGAAGGGTTGAACTGTACTGTGCAACTTAGTTGGGCCATGACAAGCGCATTCATTTTTCTATATACAGTTAAACCTGCTTATAATGAACCTCCTTATAATGAATTTGATATAACGAAGTTATTCTATGCCCCGCTGTTACCCCATAGAAGCACACGCATTTGCGACCTCTATTTAACAAAGTGACAGCGCGAAAGATCTTTTATATAACCGATTTTCGCCACGGACACTCAGGAATTTAACCCCGGACAAAGCACAAAGCGGCGGTGGCGCGCTCGTGGCTCCAGCAACTTTCACCGGAGAGCGAGTGCTCGATGTGGGCAGACGGGCCTGTGCTTCATGAGCCGGTATTGCCCCCGTTCTTGCTGCCATGGGCGCATGCGCAGATGTGCCCTTACCTCTCCTTCCTTCAACCCGAAACCAAAAAAGGAAAACTACTTTTGCTTTGGCAGTGCCACGCTCTTACTGAGCGTCACATATGTGGAGCCGCGCTGCATGTGGAGGGCGCTTTACCAAATAGTTTTCCACAGTATCGGTGTCGTTCGCTCGTCCTTTTCGGCGCAGTGCGTACGCGCATGCGTGGTTTCACTGAGTGTGCATGATGTGGCTCCCGAAGACGTTCAGCTCTCTCTTCTTTTACAGCCAGGTCGTCACTTCCTAGATGACGTTACATTAGGCATTGAAGGAAACTCTCGGACACTACGGTGACAACAAATTTTTGGACGTCGACACGTCATGCGCTTTCATCAAGCGCCGCTCCACGAGTTCGCGGGACCATAGCCTTTGCGATTAGCCGATTAGCTCTGGCAACAACACGACGGCGCTTTGAATGCAATGCAATAGATGCCATAGCAGCAAATTGTAATGTTATATGAATTACGGCTGGCAGCCAACTCTTTAGGTTTCGATATCGCGAAACTACAAAATGCTGGTGTAAGAAAATACGGCCACTCCCTATAGCTTGCGTGCCGCAACCGCACCCTTGAAATTGAGGCTCATTGTTGCTACTGGAATGAAGACCCCCCCCCCCCCCTCGTTTTTTCCTGCTAGTTCAAAACGAGTGGTTCTGTTTGAGCATTCGACGGCAGTTCTAACACGCGGGGGATGGAATCTTATCGTACGCGCCCTCCAGGCGATAGAGATGGACCGGCTCATTTGATCTCTGCCTCGGCAGCGCTTGCGCGCTTTTACCCGCTCGTATAAGTTACGGTGCCCGGGGGCTCGTTGTCAGGACTTGTTACGGAACTTGGCGGCGATGGCGAAAACCGCCGAGAGTGTCCATATAATAATATCACAATAATACCGCAGGTTTTTACCACTAAATAAGTTCTCTGGGATAACTCTGTCTTAACTTCTTCTTCTGCTTAATTAGTGCAATTATTTTTCAAAATTTTTGTACCAAACCTGCATATTACAAAATCCTCTTTGTAACAAATTTTCCCATGAATTTGTGAATTTCGTTATGTCCAGGTTTAACTGTACCATATTTGCTCAATTGTAGCCCGACCACCATGGTAACTTGAGTGGTGACTTTTCATTATGTCCACGAAGAATAATAGTTATTTCGGTGTTCTGCTGTAACATGAGGGTTGACTGTAGGTCACCAAACCTGGAGAAAAAGTCCTGTTATAGTCGAATAAATATGGTAATACGTGACACATTCTATTGAAACTCTTTTATTCCAAATTATTTGACCAAATCACTATTCACATCGCACATTGAATTTTCTATTTCCCCATTGCTACAATATCGGACTAATATTAGAGAGTTTTAGTTAGGATAATTGATGCTACTGGTTATTTTGGGGCATGCAAAATAAAGGAACGTTTTATGAGCCACATAACTACAGAACTCATGGGGTTACCTCAGATTCGGTTCTTCAAAGCCATGATCTGCCTCTTTTTTTCATCCAGTCCCCTATCGCTACTTAGCCCATGCACAGAACAATGAACCCAACAGTCTGTGGGGCCTCAAGAAACCAGATGTCGGTAAGGAAGCCGGTAGTTACATTCATTATTTTGTGGTTTATGCGACAGCAATGAACGATAAACTGACTAGTACCGTTAACGAGTGTGCAATGTAAGAAGGGGGTACAGTCATTAGACAGGACACTGGCAAGTTATCCCCAAAGTTGTTGGTACGAGGAAAAAAAGAAAAAGAACACGGACATCCCAAATCTACAAGTTATTCCTGCCTACCTTTTGAAGCCCAATCATCTACGTGAAAGTGAGCCTTGAAAAAGTAAACCGCCAAGCCTGTGCAGAATGCGCAGCACAGACACACCGAAAGCTTGAACAGCAACCTTTCAGAGCCTTTTTTTGTTAACACGCTTTGGGTAACTACCACAAGCACACTTGCAGAGTAACCACAACACTATTAATCATAGTTTTTGCCTAGTAAGGAGGCACTCACTATATCATCCTTTGTCATTATTTGGAGAAGTGTGGTACCCACTACAGATTTGCGAAGAATTTTGTGCAATTTTCTCTTGCCGTGGCTGATGACCATGAAGAACTATACCAGAAGCTTTCATAATGTGTTGGAGCATTCCACGGCCCACTCGTTACCCAATTTGTATTGTGTAATGCCTCGTAGCTCCTTTGCTGTTCCAAAATGCTTTACTACTCATATTACCGCAATTCCTTTCCCGACATGAAGCCTGCCTAAGGCCAGTTAGCAACGCAGTTTCAAGCACCGGCACATCTCTGCGGTAGAATACTGGGCTGACACGCAGGGGATCCGGGTTCAAACCCCACTGTGTCCTTGGTGTTTTGTATTTACTTAGCTTTTTTTCTTCTTATTTGGCACAATAGTGGCTATGGACGCCGGCGGAAGAGCACAGCTACGGCACACACGACCTTTGTTGTGATTTCATAACAGCTTTCGCGATATGAAGAAGTCAGTTACCAACACTTACCTGCACAAATGAAGTTGGTGCTGCGCTCAGCACAGGAATGGACGCCGAGGAGACGGCGCCCTTCTGCAATGCAGTGCCCGTAGAGAGGCCACCACCTGCTGAAAGTGGAAAGACTATTCATAGGAACTGCACATAAAAAGCATCGAAGGGACTTTCAAAGCCCTTAGAAAGAACTCTCAAGGACTTCAAACAACACCTTCAGATTTCAGACGAATACAACAGCATTTCTTTTGACATGGAAGCCCATCCTTTACACAAACAAAAACAAGCAATTTTCATAATCTACACTCAGACAGATATATCACGAACCCAGGTAGAACGAATTATCGGTTATAATGAAGTAAGTGAAGAATAGTTTTGTCCAAATAATAATTGGGGGGTTTAACGTCTCAAAACCACCATATGATTATGAGAGGCGTAGCAGTAAAGAACTCCAGAAATTTCGACCACCTGGAGTTCATGGAAGTACGTTCGTGGAAGTACATTGGAGCCAATCCTTGTAAGCTTTTTTAAACATCCGATTTCAGCCTCCTTAGTAGACAAAAGCATGCGAGCCAATTTAAAATATTCTTTAGTTGCGACAGTTTGGGTGTGCGCAAAAAATTACACGATTAGCCGCTAAAAGGAACGATGTGTTGATGCAAAGCAGCGGGCGCTAACGCTTACACTGACATCGACGTTGACGCTCATCGCGGCTTTGCGCTGGAGAGAAACCTGGGGAGGCGCAAGGCATGTAGTAATGAACCGGCGTTTCTTACTGGAACATGCCAATCACTGCTAATGGGCAATGAGAGATAGAAGACTCAGACTGAACACAGAGACCTGCAGTCCCCTTTTAGTTAATGCACACGCTGCGAATTTTTATTGATCAAACACACAGAAGAGATCTCCCACCGACACTACCTTGCAGGTCAAGATGCAGCGCTTAATCCAGTGCCAGCGAACGGCTAAGCAGCGCGGCAAGTCACTCAAGAAATTCGTTGCCTGCGTCGGCCTTGCAAGACGAGAGAGGGGGAGCGTAGGAAAAGAGAAAGAGGAGGAGCGGACGAGCATGTGCAGCCTGATTGAGCTCGACCCTAAGCTGCTTGGCATCCAATAAGTGATGATATGTGTGCGTGTATTATACTTGTTTTCTCTTTCCTCAATCCTTCCTCTATTCTCTCTCTCCCCTTCCTCATGTGGGGTATCAAACGAAGCGCAACCTGGTTAACGTCCCTGTATTTACTTTGCCTTTCTCACTCCCTCTCTCCAAAGTAGGCATGGTTGTTGATGCAGTTACGTACATTGTCACCGTGAGTTTGTGACATGTGGTCTGAAAAAAGTGGCCCCAAGCTCAACAGTGAACACACCAAACTGAAAGAATCCAAAGCTCCCCCATGTCACTCTTTCGCTTGCTGCAGTAGGTGGCGCTAGTAGATGGTGGCTCTGCTGCTGGTATTGCACTGCACTAACAATTGTCACGGTCATGCCTGAAGTTGATGCTTTTGATGCCAAAAAAGCTCTTCAAGGGACCCTGAAACACTTTTCTAAGTAACCATAAAATGTATTTACTAAAAGAGCTTATTGCCACACAAATTTAATGCCACAAAATTTCAAGAATCCGTCCAGTATGAGCAGAGTAGGAAAGATTTGTAGCACGTCACAACTGCACTAGCTTTTCTCTTGCCCCGACGAAAGCACTGGAAGCTAAACAGGGAGGCGTGGCATGGGCAAAGAAAATACCTCACGCATGCCTTGCGACTTTTTTTTTTTTGCTTTCTTCAAATACAAGACTTTTTCAGTGTGATCGCACGTGTACGTGTTGACAAGTCTGGGTTTCCCGCGGTGATCCCTGTAATGACCGAGCGCGCCATGTTTAACAGCCAATGGCTGATAAAGAACTCCTATGAATGATTTTTGAGCTTCCTCCATCACTTGTCGAAAGAAGAGAAAGCAATCTTTGGCTAACTGATAATTTATTGTGAATTGCAGGCTGCGTGCTGTGCTATAATATTTGGCTCGCGTGTTCTCAGCAGCGTTTTTTGCCATGCTCAAAAAGTGTTGCAGGGCCCCTTTAAAAGCCAGCACACATGAAACATCAAAGTTCATGAAGAAGAATAGCTTGAAGAATAACTTGCGCACTTATTTGTTTTTATTGTCAGTGTAACGTTTGGGGACAACTCGCTTTCGTAATGATGTACAATTGTGCAGATATATTAACTAATATTGTATGAGTGCCACGTAAACTATACTGAACAATAACACCTACCTGAAAAGGCCTTAGCCTGAGCATTTGCTGCTTCTTCTTCCTGAGTGAGGTCAATGATCTTCACACCTGGTGCAGACGGTGTGCTACTGCTAGGGGATGACACCACAACCGCTCGTACAGGTGTGCCAGAGGAAGAGACAGTTGTTGAGACTTTCATCTGTAACACAACCCCAGTAGCAGTAGCTGGACATTTAAACCATGCAGCACATAAATAAGAAGACACGAAGCAGGCAACTATTTTTCCAATATTGCCTCACTGGTGAACATGTTCCCCCCTTTTTTTGTGTTTTTTAAAGGAATACTGACATTAATTTTAAAGATCTTTGTTTGGCTTGTTGCTCGAAACAACGGTACTGGTGTTGAGAAACCTCAAACAAGTACTGTGGTGCTCGGGAACACATGGAATATATTTTTATTGCCACTACCTTAAAAAGACACTTCCTGTTTCGAGATTGTGGGCTGGCTTTTTCGTGACGTGTCAAAGCAGTGCGACGTGAGGGCACGACAGCAGCTGGCGACGTACTGGGGGCAAATCTGTCAACTGCTTGTGATGCACGTAAACAATGACGAGTTAATTGTCATCCAGTGACGCCTGACACTGAATTCTGCGATTTCAGCTGCGTGTAGGACGCAGAGCTCGCAAGTCCAGGACCTGCCTTCACTCGCAAGGGAAACATTCATGGCAATGGGGCTGGCTTGCAGATGTTCAGTGCCAAAAACATTGAAATCAATATAAAATATTTTATACGGGTTGCCTGACTGATGTGCGAAGAGTGTTGGTACTGCATACCAAGGAAACGAAAAACGACCCTTTCACGACGTTTTCAAATCGTGTCAGTACTCCTAAGTAAAAACTAGAGTAATGCGAATGGCGGAATTTTGGATGTGAAGCAAATTCAAATGATAAAGTTGAAGTGCGAATCCAATCGAATACTAATTTAAAAATATTTCTTAATTATTTTTCCAAATCTTTAAATTGTAATTACAGAAAGTTGTAATGAATTCATTTTCTAACTCGTATTCTAAAAATTAAAAAAAAAAAACACAGCTTTGCAATGGCACAATCAGGCACTGCCATTTGGGCTCATCAGAAAGTGCATTTCGCAGTCTTCAAATTTCCTCTTTTAGCTCCTCCATTCAAAACAAGCGCACAAAAAGCAAATGTTTAATGTTTGTTAAGAGGCCTCAGATTGGCCCCGTCCACCTTGTTGATCCAGCAGCACCCATTGCCATTTGTTCGATCCCTACTCTGGGAGAACGCTGCCTGCTGCTTGCGCGTATCGAGGTCACGGCTGACTACAATACTTAGAGACGCCCTAGCAATCGTCCTGTGTGCACGGCTCGTTAAGTATAATTACGCTTCAGTTTGCAACCCACAAAGGGAACTTCGAAGATCAGATTACAATAGTGCACCACGCTTGTTGCGAACATCGCAGATGCGCATCTCAGCGATGGTTCCGCTTATTGGCCCTTCAAACTACGCGACGAAGACTGACACGAGATGGCTCTTTGTACTTGCTATCGAGCTTGATGAAGGATTAGGCACCGTGGCCAAGCACATCATGGCCATGCACACCGTGACTAAGCCTGAACACCACTTACAGCAGGCGACTGAGAAGCAGTAATGTTGGCAGTGTTGGCAATCAGCTGCATCGGCACTGGCACGGGAGACGACACAGAGGTCGATAAGGTAGGAGCACTCTGCAACTGCAAAGAAGAACAGAGAAGACCCAAACATATAGGACTTGTAAAACGAGTACTACACTCAAGATGCAAACCATTTGTTTGATCTATACAAAGGCTCGACTGAATGCTTCCTTATTATTTCAATGTTTGCCCAGTACAATGAACACTTCGAATCAATTGTAACAGAGTAGACTCTGAAGAGACCAGGAAAAATATGTTCTGTCAAGCAGGAGTTCCAATTATTGAAACATGAAGCAGTGTGCAGAATTCAAACAAAAAAGCAATCACATGAGAGGAAGTTGTTCATTTTAGGTAGCGATTCAATTCAACATTCCATACCACACTTGCACGGCATTGCTAGTCTATCAATGGTTTGAAATTTCCCTTTCAAGGCATTTCGCATGGCGCACACTGCACAATCTGTAATGCACAAGAACTGCAGTTTTTTTTTTTTCATGCGGTTCATTTTTCCCCCCCCGTGTAGCCTCGATTTTTGAGCACCCTCCAAAGTTGCATGATAGTCTGAGTGGGAATAGAAAATAGCCACCACAGAATGTGGCGCACATGTGCACTTCAAAAGATCACAGATGTTGGCACTTAAGTATGTTTGCAACAGATTTTATCGATATAGGAAGCCCCATCAATTCTGAGAATGATGCCCTTTCGTAAGACATTGACTCTGAAAGTAACGACAGTGCAAACCAGCCTAAAACATCAGCCAACTTCGCTTTCTGCTTCAGGCCGTCTCTCCCATTTCAGCACCGGCCCGCCACTATGAAAAATCAGGTGTCGTGAGCAACGAGCTCAACAAATTACATAATCAACCTCTGTTGGAGGAAAAAATTTTATATTATTGTCGGGATACAACGTCACAGGAGAAGCAAGTGCTGCTGCCCTTTTTGCGATCGACCGGCCTTTCTGAACGGTTGTAGCCAGAACGCCCTTCCCTTGTGCGTTTTTGTTTTCTCCTGTGTGCACGTGCATTTTTTTCTTTTTTCTCTCTCTCTACGCTACTCTTCTTGCCCCTTTTTCCCCATCCCCAGTGCTGGGTAGCAAACTGGATGCCAATATATGGTTAACCTCCTGGCCTACCTCTTCTCTCTCTCTTTTATCTATGTGTCATGAGTAAGGAGATTGTGTATAGACCATGACGACGAAGGAGAGAGAGAAGCACTCAGAACAGGCACGAGCGTGTGCATGGATTGACACATGGCTCGACGCGCGTGGCACAAGGTTGCAGTTTCACGAGCTAGCACTGTTCACGTGGCTACGGCGGAAGAAGGTCTACTGGCAACTTTGTACTGTCACGGGTCAACAGGTATCCAGCTTGGAGGCCATGACACTGGCACTTTGTGATGTGGCCGGTGACCGGAACGACGCCTAGGCGTGGCTCCTTGGAAGTGCTGTAGCCCATTAGGGAGTTTGGGAAACACCAGCACAAGTCCCCCTTTGATTGTCGGCCAGCAGCGATACCCGGGTATTTACGTCATTATGTTGAACAGAGGCCGAGTTCATACTTAGGCGTAACCAAATACGACGCCTTGTCACGTCAGCGATAATGACCTAGAAAAAAGCTTACAGCAACATGGCCGGCCGTTGCACATTGAAGTGATAATTTCAACAGGATCATCAGCAGCAACAGTGTCGGACACAACACAACCGAGTGTCCGATGATGAATACCCGCCACGTCCATGACAACGTCCGGAAAAGGCTTATGGCAGCTCGCGCCAACCGTTGTGCATTGTAGCAAAAATTTCAACAGGGTACACGCCCCCGAAATCTGCGACAATGTGAACTGTAAGAAATGCAAGTGCGACAAGAAAACCAAGCAGGAAAACGAGACTGCACAGCAAGAGATGAAAGCAAACAACACACAGGGACGCAGGCACCACAATGCATTCGTACCGACTAGCTCAACTTTCCTTACTACTGAAGAATGCACAAGCCCCCCTCCGTAAACTGCTGAATAGTAGCAGCTAAAGAAATCTGTAAGGCAGTAAAATGCTTTTACCTGAGGAGGCATGCGTGTAACCACAGCTGCGCTGCCACCACTTGGTGTTGAAACGCTCAGCACCTTCATGTGCTGGTTCGGTTTCAAGCCCAGCTGCTGCATAAAATAAGGTGGAGGGGAGGGAGATAGCACGTGATACAATGTCTGGAGAAAACCGTACAGCTTCCTAATAATACACTAGAGGGAACTCTGGCGCTAGCCTCTATGGGCATACACAGATTTGGGATGAGTAGTACACGGACTTGTTTAGTTTTCATACTTTCGAATTCGGTTGGCTTCGCGTGACTTGAAGTTGCTTTGTCACGAAACAACAATCAGCAAGTGTTCAGCAGTTGAACTTCGCTCTCTTAATATTTTAGAATAACCATTTCAATCGCGTCACAAAGTTCAAAGCAGTCAGTTTCTTTTTCATTCAAAAGAAAACCGAAACACAGCAATAAATGAAGCCACAAGTGCAATTGGAGGCTCGCAAGTACGACGACTAGGCAAATCCCTGTACTACCCATCATTCCCACGGTCGCTGAACGATCGCAGTGCTCTAGTTAATTATAGGAATCGCTATGAAGAAAACCACTCTTCAAAAACACTCCCTAATCCCCCCCCCCCTTTTTGGCCCAATGTTCTCTGGATGCGGGACACTCATTGTAGCAATTTAATAGTGCTCTGGATGAAACGAACAAGCATGTGCATTTACTTGACCACCATAAGCCTATGCGAACTGTAGGACAAGCTTTACTGAAAATAATATTCCGTTGGCAAACTTCATCCAGCCACTTTTGCTCAATTGTACACTAGGCTCAACTGCACGTCCCTCCCCTCATTTTGTTACCAATATAATGGGAATAGGCAGAAGCATTTTGGGGCGAATTCTGTAGCACCAAAGGTGGTAATATTTTAGGGCTTCGCTCAGTCTCAAATCAAGGCAAGAAAAACTGGTTCAATGCCCTTTAACTGAAAACATAGCCCTAATTTAAATGACAGGAACAGGGTTGCCACATACTAAACTAAGAGCTGAGTCAATATTTGGAGCTTTTGAAGTATGAAAACCTAAATTCAGAGTAGGCTATGAAAAAAAAAAGATAAAAACCACCAAATTGTTTTTCATGAAATCTCAAAATTTGGCAGTATAACGAGAAGGCTTGCATTTCAAAAAGAAACAAAAGATACGTGCAGACCATTCAGCATCAGCCAGCTCATTTACAGTGCACAAAAGCACTGCTACTTCGGTAACAGCAATGCACTGAACCACACAACAAAGCAAACAACGACCAAGACCACAGCATTTGCAGCACCTATCAAATAATTTGACATATGCTTCGATTGGTAATGTGAGCTGGCCAACATGGGGACCTTGAATTTTGGAAGATTTGTAAGCGAGGCGTGAGTGAGGGAGGCAGAAAAAGAAAACTAGCGTACATTTTTCTTTATTTATTTCTCAGTGCCGCAGAAGCACTATACAGCACCCTTCATGGCTGCCAGGAACTTTTTAGACATCAGCTATCATACTTCTTTTTTTTTATGTGGGGTTTAACGTCCCAAAACCACCATATGATTATGAGAGACGCCGTAGTGGAGGGCTCCGGAAATTTTGACCACCTGGGTTTCTTTAACGTGCACCCAAATCTGAGCACACGGGCCTACATTTCCGCCTCCATCGGAAATGCAGCCGCCGCAGCCGGGATTCGAACCCGCGACCTGCGGGTCAGCAGCAGAGTACCTCAGCCACTAGACCACCACGGCGGGGCATCAGCTATCATACTAGTACACTCAAACCTCGTTATAATGAAGTTGAAGGGGAGCCACAATTATTTTGTTATATCCATTATTTCTTTATGTAGATCATAACAGTTTGTGGCAATGTATGCTCAGATGGGCGCACACCTATAAGCAAGCAAAGAAGGAAACCGCCTCGCGGCCCGATGTACCGCTACACAACTACGCATGCGACGGAAAATAAACACAGTCGAATCTCCTTAATTTGAATACGCTTAATTCAAACCCATGCTGTGGTGCCGTCAAAGCTACGTGTATTCCAATGGGCAAAAACGCCCTGTAATTTGAACGCGCAAGCACTGGCGGCGGTTAATTCGAACATACCGCGCTCCAAAAATGCTAAATGCTCTCAGCACCATGCCCAATCCCGCGGTGGCACCTCTCAACGCTGCACGTGATGAAGGAAAAGAAGGAAAGAAAATACTGTGGCGGATTGTTCGTTCTCTCTCCAATGCCGATCTGCAATGCACCTGTGCCACGCTTCTCCCTTTCCTGTCTCTGCACGTAGAGACCCTTCTCCTTTCAAGGCCGTGTGCGGGGAGAGAGGAAAAAAAAAGCTGTTGCGAAGAGGCCTCCTTTCTCGATGCCGAGGGTGGTGGTGATGATAGCGGTTAAAAGAGAAAGAAGGCACCTAATTTCTGCAGCTCGGTTAAGAGCACGGCGCAGTGCCAATAGATACGCAGTTTTTGCCGTTGTCTTTAAGGCGCGGAGAGGGAAATTCCTTTGCACCACGGCGCCGCTTAACGGTCATGTGACCCGCTGAGCGCTTCCTCAATCCTCTCCGCTGGCTGTGTGAGGACGGCTCTCTGGGCCGCGCCTGGCGTGGCTTTAATGTCGGCATGGTAGTTTTGAAAGAGCCGCGCCGAACGATTGTCAAACTCCGTAGAAAACGATATACTTAACACACTATGGTCGTTTTTTTATAGACTATTTGATAGACTAATTTAGTTCGTTATATCCATTTACTGGTCAATTATACTTTGTTATAACAAGGTTTAAAATGCATGGTTCTCAATGGAGCGTTCAAGGAGAACTTCATTTACTTTGTTATACTTATTATTTCATCATATCCTGTTAGGTTATAATGAGGTTTGAGTGTACTTGTAATTATACGACACATACGTGCATGAGCGAAATGTGCTGTGTCTCTTCAACCAATCTGCATGAAATTCACAGAGAATATCAGCAAAGCTACCTAGAAAAAGTTTGAAGTTTCAGAATGACCCAGCACCATATGTTGGACCTTGACAGTGTCTGCGAGCTGCCTCCTCTCAGCGGGGTGTTTTTTTTTTTTTTTTTTTTGCGTCAATGCGGCAATGAGCTATTGCTCTCTGGCTCACGCGAGGTTTTCGGTGACGGCACGCACTGTTTTGCCAATGGCAGTGAAAGTCTTGTGGTGCACTGGTTTCGAAACACCAAGGATTGCACGAAACCGCACAAGCTGCTCATGTCAGACGCCGATCGCACATGCTGCGACCACAGATTTCACATTCGTGGCGAAGCTGTCCTGTGCACTACAGCTGGCGTGCATCTCCTCGCTTCCACTGCATGACGAATACACGCCACTTGACGCGTTGTACGTGGACAAAACAACAGTTGCAGCGCATACGTCATTTCAGCAACAAAGTTCCGAAAATGATACCAGTCCTTATCGTCTACTAGTCAATACTCGTACAGAAAGCTCGCACCGCCCGCAGTCAGTGCATACTGCGCCACTGACGAGGTTCTGCATTGCATCGGTCTCGCAAATAAATGTACTTCCACGTTCGTCCTGACGGTTTCTTTCCTCATCAAACATCTTTATCTTTCACTCTGAAGCACTCACGAAGTCATCGGCGCTAGGAATGAAGTTCGAGCAATCCAAATCAGGCGCACCACTGCTGCCATGGCTAGGCCTACCAGCAGACGAATCTATCGTCGCAGGAGCTCACCGCTTGCGTTTGGAGAGTATTCTTTTGTACTGGCACCTCGTCATGAACTTCCGTGAACGAAAGTCATGTTTCTGGCCGGCATTCATAACAGGGAAAAATTAACTCGGCGATTGTGTTCGTCAATGTCTCGGCAATAGCAGGAAAATGAAGAAAGAGCACTCTCGTCCAGCTACACGCCAGAATGCTCTCAGCCAATGACAGGGCTCCGATCATATCGCGTAACCTCAAAGGCCTACTCGCCATGCTAGAATGCAGTGTGGAAACGTTCGTTTGTTGTATTTTCAACAAGAATGACACGAAGTGAGCTCTGGGAAAAGATGGCTAGGTCTACATGCCCGCGAAATTTGAAGAGCTGGCGATGCCGCAGGGCGAAGTGCCGCGTGCACGAAAATCGGGAAATTTCGTACTTTTATGGGCCTATACACGAGTGTTTTAATTGTATTTTTAGATAACTTCTAGTAAATTCTCAGCTTTGATTATTAATTCAATGAAGAGAGCGCTTGGAGGAACACAATACACAACAAAACACAAAATAGACTTTTTCGAAAAAAATCTCACTTTTTCGACCCGCATCACCCCTTAACGGCAAAATTTTCAGATGATTTTGCAAGATTGCAACCACATCACAACAGCGACATTTCGCACAATTCGGCTTGGCTTGGTTGTGATTGTGTCTTATGCAGATGCACCATGATGTTACTTTCAACTAGGGAACCTGAAGTAGTTTCATTTCTGAAAGTCACTGCACACCCTTGGGTGCAGGTCAGGCGCAGACTAGCCAAATTTCGAGAAAATGTAGCAGCTGGAGCACTCGGAGCGTGTTCGGCACAACGGTTGCAGCGGTAGCATCACTGAGCTTGTTAAACGGACCTTGATGTGGTTTTGACGCTTTCGTACAAACACATCGCGCTGGTAGAGCAAGTCCTAAGAATCATTTACAGACATATTTGAGGTCCCTGCATAAACTGTGCAACTTGTTACAACACTTCAAAGCTACAAATCACTGCAGATTACTGCGACAGAGCATTCAAAGGCATTTTTAACAACCTATATGCAGAGCGACATGCAGTGGTAATGCGACACCATCCAGGCTGCTGATATGATTTTCTGTGGATTGTGCAGAAGTAACATCAGCCGGTACGGTGGCAGCACCTGTATGAGCAGATGTCAACCAATCCGTGATTGTTGTCTCTGTTGCCAGACGACCCGCATGCTGCAGGGCGCACTGGGTGATGATAGCCCCCAAGATGACGCGCAATCTGTCGGTGTGCGATCACAGACGTCTATACCGGATGAAACTTGAATCATCGAGTGCGCTCATGATAACTCTGCGATCGCCAGCAATGCCAGCGTGTCTCACGAGTTGAGGAGGCATGGCAGGGGTGAGAAGAA